TGTCCCCGGCGTCCTGCTCGTCGTCCCATCTGTCGTAGGTGAAGGTGTGCCGGGAGCTCGTGGGGCTGTGGGAGAGAGCAGGGTTAGGGGGGCGATGAGGGGCTCCGTGTCCCCAGCATGGCTTGGCTGCTGAGCTCGACTCCCGTGAGCCAGCACGCTGGCAGCCAGCTGGATGGAGCCTTGATTGCCTCCTTTTTTATTCTTTCCGAGATATTTGGGACATGCCTCACTGCAAACAACTCCTCGCTGCGCTGAGCTGAGCCCCGGCTCTGCAGTGGGGCCGAGCTGAGCCTGCCCAGGAAAAGGCTCGAGGCTCTGAATGCCAACACCAGCGCTCCCAGACACCCTGAGGGTCCTGAACCCGAGCCCAGGGCTGGGTGCTGGGGGTGTTGCTCCCCATGATGCCTTCCCTTCCTCTGGGACAGACAGCTCAAGGCAGCCACATTTCCAAAAGGCTTTTTTCCCTTCCTCCAGCTGCTCTCCTATTCAGCCATCAGAAAGGATGAAGTCTGCTCTGAAATCGCTGCCAGCGAGCCCAAACACACCCTCTCTGCATCAAGCAGTGTGCAGAGCTCCAGGCTGATGCCATTCACACCCCAACAGAGCAACTCTGACCTCCAGCAGCCCAACCTGGGCCCCTCACCATGGATGCTGCTTTCCCTCATGCTCACACACTGCAGTGGGTGCATGTTAGTACCCATACCACTCCCCTCCACTCCTGGGCGCTGTGCTGCCCATCAAACCCTTACAAATTTCCTGAAGGAATAAATCCAGATGTGTCCTGGCGATGGCTGGGGAGCCAGGAAGGGATTAGCACTTCCTGGCGTCCCGCAGCTGCTAATCCCGAGCACACGGGCACTGCCGGTCCTGCTGCGGCCACGCCGGGGATCTCCCCACGGATGGAGATGCCCAAAGCAGGGCAGCTGCAGGCACAGAGGGCTGCCCCATGCCGGGGTGCCCCATGCCGGCGGAGGAGAGCTCCGGAGCCAGGAGAGGGTTAGGGCGAGCGGTTAGTGGCACACGGGGAGGCTCATGCTGCACGGCACACACCGCTCCCACCTCCTGCCTCAGTCGCTCTCGGGACGGTACAGGTACTTCATCATCAGGTTGTCCACCTGCTTTTTCCGCTGCTTCTCCTCCTTCTTGCCCCGGGCGGGACGTGTCGGCTCCTCGCTCCCCGCCCCCCGAGGGCCCTTCTTGACACTGGAGGTGCTGCGGTAGGAGCTGGTGGAGCCGGAGGAGGACTCGGAGGAGGAACTGGACTCGGATGATGATGACTGCTGCTTCTTCTTCTTCTTCTTGGATTTCTTCTTGCTTTTCTTGGCACGCTTCTTGGAGTTCTTCTTCTTCTGCTCCTCTTCTTCCTCGGAGGAGCCCGAGCTGCTGCGGCACCGGCAGGTGTGCCGGGAGAAGTCGAGGGCGGACG